ACCCCCCCGCCGCGGCAGCGAATGCTAGTGCGAACTGCTGGTGGACTTGCGGCGGCTGTGTGCGGGAGACCGATATTACGCTCTGTCCCAACAAGAACTCGTGGGGAGTCTCGTACGACGACGGTCCATCTCTATATACGACTGACCTACTGCAGTATTTTCAACAACAAAACATACACTCTACGTTCTTTGTCGTTGGCTCCCGTGCCATCTCAAGGCCTCTCATAGTCCAAAATGAGTATATGACTGGTCATCAGATCGCCGTTCATACTTGGAGCCATCCAGAGATGACGACCCGGACCAACGAGCAGGTTATTGCTGAACTCGGCTGGACGAGGAAGGTTTTGCGCGACATTACTGGTGTGACGCCGATATACTGGCGTCCGCCGTTCGGCGACATCGATGACCGTGTGCGTGCGATCTCCATTGCCATGAACTTGAAACCGATTATCTGGACACGCATCAATGCGACAATGGACTTCGACACTAACGGTGGGTGGATTTTAAGTTTTGATGTCGCTCAGATATCTAACATCGTGTCCAGACTGGGGCATGATTGGAGGCTCGTCGACAGCTATCTCTACTCTGGACAAGTGGAATGAAATTATGAATGTTGAAGCCAACATCAGTACTGGGTTCATTGCCCTGGAACACGATCTTTTCGAGCAGACGGTCGACCTTGCTGTTGGATACATTCTCCCGGAGGCCCTCGCACACCAACCAAAGTTCAACATGACGCCAATTGTTGAGTGCCTCGACATGCCGCTTGCGAACGCCTATCTCGAGACTAACGACAACTCAACCAACCCACCTCCGCTAAGTATGTGAAAGAACTGCAATTTTTGTGTTGTGTACTCACCAGTATGATCTGAATTCAGCTGCGTACCTCGCCAACAGAACGATTCCTGGGACGACACCCCCTGCCGGGTCGTCAAACTCGACAGGATCCAGTGGCGGAAATCCCAGCGCGAGTGGGAGCTCGGATGGGAGCTCGGGTGGTTCGCCTGGATCATCAGAAAAGAGTGGTGCATCAAGTATGATGGCGGTCGGACCTGCTCTGCTTACAGCCGCGCTCGGTGTGGTTGGGAGTGTCGGTGCCATTTTCCTCTAATATTCGCTCTCGAATCAAACCTGGACACCTTCACGAAGACGTGGACATCCATCATATCGATCCTGTTGATTTGCTCCTGGCTGAGCGACATGCGACGTCTTTGCACGCTCTAATCATGAAATGATTTCGCCTGTTTTATGTACGCTTCCTATATTGCACCCCGACTCAGTATACCATACCTGTCGAGTCGCAAGTAATGTCCACACGAACTATTGTTTCATTACAGATAATGTACGCGTATACGTTTTGTATTTTTCCTGCATACTGGGGGTCTGACGAAGTGCAAGCCTAAAATGCGAAGGTAGGTCAGACAGGTAGGTAAGTCGTTGCGAGAGGCTCCGTCGCTGCGAACGGTCGCGATGGTAAGTTCCAGTACCACGTATGCACTTCCTCCCATCATGTCCATTGCGCATTGATGCTCTTCGCCTCACAGGGAGTACGGGCTGTTGTCACGTTCTGCCCGCCAACGAAGTCAAGCCGGCTACCGCAGAGTGGAATTTGACTGTTTCCGCTTGACGTGCTGCGCTGGCCCTGATGGCGCACGGTGTAACAGCGATCGACGGCTTGGAACACCTCGGCATCAGCCCGCCCCAGTGATCTCAGTTCTTGAGGACCTTCCTTAAGAGGAAGCGTGCACGCCGAGGCGCGCAGTATCGGGTCGTGGTGGGGGTGTTGGTTGCGTACGACGAGTGCACATCGCCAAGGTGTGTGCTCGTGCGGTTTCTGGCTCTGACCGGGCACTAGTGCGCTTTGTTAGCAGTGTGGAACATGATAAAGGCAGGACCGGGGCAGGAGGGCAGGATTGCCGCCCTGGTCGAGCGTGCATCCTGAAGGTCAGACGCTGGCCTGGCTAGTTGGTCCACCCAACCCGGGTGTCTATGATGCGGTTGCGCTGCCTGCAATGTGCCGTCGCCGTGCCCTGAGTCGGGTTTGTCGCAGATTCGGCAGCGAGCAGCGAGTGTGGCGCCAAGGGGATGCCAAGAACTCCATTTGCAGCTCCGCCTCCCCAGTGCAGGCTATCGCTCAAAATCAATCCATCCTTCTCCTTCTCGTGTCTTCCCTGCTGCCGACCTCGAAGTGCTCGTTGCCCTGAAGGGTCTTAGTATCATCGCTCCTTTGATCTCCTAGTCCCGGGATATCCTCATGTGGCCTGCTCTTCTGTCACTCGTTGCCCTCTCGCCACTGATATCTGCTCATGGCCCACATATAGCCCAACATATTGCCAGAGCCAACCCGGCAGCAAGCTCTCCAACTACCGCACATAGCTCATTGGCTACAAGCTCGACAAACACGACGACGACCGCAAACACAACCTCTGTGACGCTTACGTTTTCTCTGATATCCACGAATCCCACCGCTGTTCCTCTCTCAGATATCGTTTCGAGCGCGTCCACCCAACCGACCCAGGCGCTCACTACCACTTGGCAGCCGGGGAGCGTACCAACCTTCATCCCCGGTGCTCCCGCCTTGCCAAATGGTACACTGCTTCGTTATCGCGCTTTCGAGTGGTTTATTCATATTCTTCCCAGCTCTTGCCCTCAACCCAGCAAACTATCCGGCTCTCGACAAGACCCCTCCGACTGATTCCCCCGAAGTCCTCCAGTGGATCCAGGAGGTTGCAAACACTGGAATACCCATTCCGGATATTCCGGTCACCAATCCCGGAGGCTGCGGCAACAACACTGCTGCTGTTGCCAATGCCACTGAGCGATGTTGGTGGACCTGTGGTGGATGCACGCGTCCGACCGACATTACTACTTGTCCGAAGAAGGATACATGGGGCTTGACATACGATGACGGTCCCGGCTTATACACTCCAGACCTGTTGACCTACTTCCAGCAGCATAGCCTCCACTCAACCTTCTTTGTTGTCGGATCCCGTTGTATATCAAGGCCGGCGATGCTCCAGGACGAGTACATGGCTGGTCACCAGATTGCAGCTCACACCTGGAGCCATCCGTATATGACGACAAGAACCAACGAGGAAGTCATCGCCGAGCTCGGTTGGTCCAAGAAGATCATCAAGGATGCCCTTGGTGTGACACCTTTGCACTGGCGCCCTCCATTCGGCGATATCGACGACCGTGTTCGTGCTATCGCTACGGCGATGAACCTAGAGACGGTCATCTGGACTCGGATAAGTCCCACGCAGACCTTTGACACAGGCGGTGAGTGCCCTAGGTTTATGTTGCTGGCCCAATTTTAAATATCTGCCATGTAGATTATACGCTTGCTGCTGGTGGGGTCACCGCACAGCAGGTCCTCAACAACTGGGAATCCATCATGGGCAACTCCAGTAAGATTAGTACTGGCTTCATTGCCCTTGAGCACGATCTCTGGCAGCAGACTGTGGACATCGCAGTTGGTTATATCCTTCCCGAAGCCCTTGCGCACAGCCCCTCATTCAACATCACCCCCGTCATCGAGTGCTTGAACATGCCTTTGGCGAACGCTTACGTTGAGACGAACGACAACAGTACCAACCCTCCTCCAGCGGGTACGTCATGGCTGATCTCATGCCAGATGCTCCCATTTCTCATGTCAAGCGTCCGCAGTCGTGGCCCAAGCTAGTGTCTCCGTATCCGGATCATCGGGCGCCGTGCAACCCACCGGTGGATCAGGCAGCGGAGCACCAACGAGCGGCGCTCTCAACGTTGCTGTCGTACATACTGGGCTAATCTCAGCAGTCCTGAGCACTCTTGCTGGCGCTGGAATTTTTCTTTTACAACACCCGATTTAGTGCAGCCTGGATCGCTATATCGGTCCATCGAGCCTGCGAACTTCAAGCTTCAACTTTGAGACCCTGTTATGGTCTGGCCGCTAAATGGCAGCTTCCGCAGCCCTCTCCGTTCTGGCTCTTCTCATGTTTTTTTTAGATGTGACGCATGTTCCGCTTTGTGGACCTTATACCGCGCAATTGCCCCCATGTTGTTGTAAAAACGAACAGTATCTTCCTACGCGCCCCAGCTCTGTAGCGTACAGCTGTGCTAATTACTGGCCCGCAGTCTACACCGACCTTTTAAGACATCGTCTTTACGGCTTTGTCGTGATTCATCTGATGTAGTCCAACGTTCCTAACGTCTTTATGCCACGTTACACGACATGTCTGCAAATAGAGCTCAATACCCTTCCAATAAAGCTTCAGATGCACTCGGATTCTGCAGGTAACGATGGTCGAAATCCCACCCGGTGTCCGGCGCGAGGGAGAGTTGACGGAGAGAGTGAGAATTTTTCGTGCACAGCGGAACAATGCGGTATGTTTATCCCATCATCAGGCCACCACCATCGCGACTATACTTAGAAGCTGCCGCGAACATGACAGCTTGCTAATTTCAAGTTAACTCCGCATCGACGCCGGACACTGACAGGAAAGATGACGCGTGTGAGGGCTCAGCAATGAATTACTCCTCGTTCGACGTTTGGCCAGAGCGGGACGTCCACGGTCCACGCCGGCCCATGGTCAGCCTGAGGAAAACGCGTGCAGGTTAATTTCGGCCGCAGTAAACAGGTCCAGGATTCATGCAGTTGTCGAGAACGGGGGGCGTGGTCGCCAGGCACAATGCGGCAGACACGACGAGTATTTTCGTACATGGTACTAAGGTGCGGCCGGCCGCGATACCGTGCGCGCAGTACAAGATCGTCGTACCTAAGCCGTACCTCCACGGCTAGTTGCACAGTGTCCAATAGGCTGCCTGCACTGCGCCTAAGCACGGCCGCCGCCATTGTCAGGTGGTATGGCAGCAAATATGGACGAGAAGAAGATGCGCGGCTATATTCGAGTTGCAGAGATGAAAGCTTCGCTTTCCTATAGGTGGTTCTCGAGGAAATTCCATCATGCACCTGGAGGCGGCTGTGGGACATGCCGACATGCCGACAATAGGAGAAGTTGGGCTTGATCATGAGTGAGGCCGCAGGAGCATGAATGTGCAGACGCGACCTGAGGCAAAGGAGCAGGATATGGAAGAGCCGCTCTAAGCCCGAGGCAAATCAGACCAGATCGAGCTAAAACTTCAACGAACTAATGAGTTCTGAGTGGTGGACAATGCCCAAACATGTAGAAAAATAATGCCGCGCGAACCCGGATAGCTTGGACAAGGCATGTCCATGTGCTTGTCAGAGAACAACTCTTTAGGGGAGTAGCGGGAGCATACGCAAAAATCTAACAAGAACTCATGCACACCTTCGAATGTGATCCCCAATATGATTTATGAAAAATAGTTACGTTTGCAGCGATGCCTGCAGTTTCGGGATTGGATACCTGAAATGCGCATCCGAATATTATGACTATATACGTAATCGAACGATTTCACCTCGTGAGATCACTACAATTGAAGGTGGTGCGAGCTTGAGGAGGTGCTTACTATGATGTTTGTTCGAATTGGCCTGTGCGTCCATAATAGTAGCCACGGTGTTCCGTCGCTCGATCAAGTGGTCATGAGGATAAAGAACAATAATCAGACTCGTAGTAGGATATTAAATACGGAATATACACAACTCTAAGATGAGTGGGGAACATCATCAAGCTCTCACTACAATGATCGAGTCACTGGTCCGACGAAGATTCGAAGATGGAGAGGGCAGGCGATTTTTGGGTCAAGCCGCTTCGGCGCACTGATTATGATTAACACATTGGGATAGCACGTAACGCCCGCCTAGCTCAATCGGATAGAGCGTCAGACTCTTAAGGCGGGCCCCCGGAATTATCTTGGGGTCAGAACATACTCATGTGATCTGAAGGCTGCGAGTTCGACCCTCGCGGTGGGCTAGATTTTTGGATACCTTGCAATCGATTCAGTCTTTAGTTTTTTTCTTGAGTGACTTGGGAGTCACTACTCAGAAGGACTGCGGACGCGGTCAAACATGGGAATGCAAAAATGTGAAGTAGTACTGCGTGTGTGCAGGATCTATAATCTACCATAACATGCGTAGTTGATAAGTAAAGCGAACTCTGTATCCACAATAGTCCGTGCCCGTCTGTGTGTCGACGAAAACCAGGCTCGCAACGAACAGCACAGCGACACATAAATCCAGGAGCGGGAGCATGTTTCATGCTTGAGCGTCTTTCCTCGTTCTCTATCACCGTCAAGGCGTTTGAAACGAACGTCTGGATATCACCCAGCCTTGTGCAACGCAGTTATCCGCGGAATGTGCAACAACTAACACTAGTGTCAGCTGGCAAATATCGTTTGCTTCGATGAAACATACCTGATCATGTAAGGTAGAATGGAAACAATGAGGCACGCAAAAGCGGCCCATGCAAGGTATACTCCATTGCCCATGGTCACCGTAATTCCCAGCGGTACCGGTGCAGATGCTTGTCCGATCATGACGTTGTTCAATAGCTCCGTCTTCTTGATTATGACGGTCCAGATAGTGGCACCTATGAGTAGCATGAAGCTGCCGACAATTGCAAATAGCGTCGATACTATAAATGCCAGAGGGTGTTTCACGAAACCACTGTATGACAGTCGATCAGCCACGTGGAAAGTTAAGCAGAGAAAACAGAACGCACATGAAGAGAGCAACAGCAGCACATATCGTCCCGATTAACAGCAGGTAGTATGCTCCGTTTGAGAAGTCGCCCAGATAAGTTGAGTCAGTGAATGTAGTGGGCGAGATGATGTAGTCTGTGTAGCCCGAATAATTCGACAGCATATCGGCTGTGATGACTTGAAATGGTTGAAATCGATTTCCAGCAGAGGTGTTTGAGCATGTCCCATGAGTGGTATTCACGTAGGCGCAATAGGAATATAAGCCAAAATCGTAAAAGTTTCGTAGGCCTGCTCGTTGTTGGAGAGGCGCTGAGGCATTATCAGTGTATAGTCCCTCGATAGGATCACTCAGGGCTCCGTGAAGCCCTGCTCTGCGGAAGTGATATATGACTGTGGCTAATGATATTGACGTGGGGCACTTACCCATAGCCAGACATGTTAACCTTAATCTGGGCGTCTCATGTAGTTAAAACCTTCAACTCCCAAAGGATGATCGTGATTCACCATGGCAATGTCTCGAGGGACCGATGATGTATTGATTTGTCCGACCTATCGATATGAGATAAGGCGAAGGATAACAAAGGGCATATCTGACGAACATGCATAAAGATGAGACATAACAGCGCTGCTAGCCTTGTCCGCGGTCAGCAGCCGCCGCGATCATCATTACCGCACGATACTCACGAGAGGATAGACGCGGATCCAATACAGACTTCTCCACGTAATTGCATAGCAGAAATCGGTATGCTCAGGCGGGGGAAGAAGAGAGGAAGGTCGTCTGAGGCCGTCGCCTGCAGTCACCCGAGAACGAACTCGCGGCGCGGGACGACGCGCTGGAGACGCGTTTTCGGAAATTGGCAGCCATATCGGGATACTATCCCACGCGTCACGAACCTGGGTCCCAGGCCTCCTATTCGAGAAGCAACGGCTGCTCGAGCGCGTGCGGCTGCACCGTTTGTACGTCGTTCTGCCACCTGCATGTCCTCTATTCTCTGAAACGTACGTCTCTCTACACTGCAAGAACATCTATTTTCCACGTTCCTGGCGTGTCGCGATGTCCGAGGAACACGATGCCGACACCGAGGGCGTGTCGGTCGGCCCTGCGGAGAAGCGCAGCGGCGATGCCACTGAGTCCAAGAGTCGATTTGTCAAGCGAGCAATAGAGATGACTGCAGATAAGTTGACAAGGAGCAAGTCCGCCGGAAACAAGTCACAGCTGTCCCAAAGCCAGCCCTCATTACCGGCACAGACTCCTAGTCGTATCCTGAGTTTAAGGAATCGAGGGAAGGGGAAGGAGAAATCTAATGGCAGCAGCAGTCCTGGTGAAGGTATGGTCTACCAACACAAATCAAAGACCAACTTTGTTGAACTGTTGTCTAGGGGACCCGTCAGATTTTCATTCGCAGCTACTGCCTTCACCGAGGCTCAACGAGCGATCATCCGCGACGTACCGCCGTCAAATGCGACCAGCTTCATCGCGTTCTAAGGATGATGATTCTCCTTTCATTACGCCACGTTCACCTTCGTTAGGTCCGAAGAGACCTGAGTTACAAACTTTCCGTGGCACTGGATCGGTGCGGTGACGTCTTCCAGCCTTAAATAACGTACTCATCGTCACATCTTGGACTAGATACGCGCAGGAACACAAGCTCTGATTCAAGCTTTGCAAGCCGTACCATGGACTGATTATCAAGATGAGGAGGAGTACTTGGCCCAAGACAATGCACCTCTCGATTCCTCAAGTGACGAAGAGGATGGTTCGTCTGGTTGGTTGGGGGGAAGCTACAGTCTAGTCCTTCGCTTATACTCAGTTGTAGGGAATAGGATGGCGTCCTCAATACACACAATTCATCGCCCAGTAGCTCGTTCAAAACGGGGAGAATCCACTTGTTCTATTGCCAGGGCTCCCGGACTACCAAGGGTTCCAGATAACGAAGAGCTTCCACGGCTGGAAGAGCAGATTTTGTCAGAGGAGGATATTGACGATGACTTCGAACCCGAACAGCCGGGTCCCATTAACTCTCAAAGCCTGGATATTGAGGACGGTCAACGCACACCGTCTCAGTCGCCTGAGGATACTGACATGTCTCCAACGCATCCTGCTAGAAGGAGCCTCAATCGTTCAGGCAGCTTGTCTACCGTGAAGATTCAGCGAAGGACGCGCTTGGCAGAGAAATTGAGAGATATTTTCGAGCTCGATGGCATCCACGAGGTCATCTCAGGTACTTGCAATACTTTTGGCACGTGGGTGATGCCATTAATTATTCTCAGAGATGCCCTGTTGGCTGCTTAGATCAGTTTGTGCGTCCCGCCGTCATCTACGCCATTCGGAGAATATCTAATTTATTGTCTCAGTGCTGCAAGGATACATGTACCTGACCGATTCGTACCTTTGCTTTTTTGCTCATATGCCGTCGAAGGAGGTCGGTCTTTCATCTCATGATGCTGTGCCTTGCATATTTGATTGAAATTCATTTGTGCAGGACCAAGTCCTTAAATCGGGATCCCTATCGAAGAAGGCACAACGTACGAAGAGATGGATCCGGCACTGGTTTGTGCTGAAAAATGACGTGCTATCTTGGTATCAGTCTCCTTCGGTGCGCATTGCTGCCGCTTGCAGTCATGTTCATTGCAAACAAGTTATTTAGGACCCGTACTTCCCTCATGGGATTGTGGACTTGCGTTATGCGATTACCTGTGAATCGGTCGGCGATAAGGGAATTCGTTTGAGAACAAATCAGAAAAGCATTCGACTTTCTGCTGATTCTACTCCAAGTCGCGATGAATGGGTCAAGGCCCTCAAGCGAGTCATGTTCAAAGCTCAGAATATGGGCGATTGTGTCAGGGTCAGTCTGATACTGAGCATCTACTTTGATTGTTAACATTTAGTTGAATGTAGATCGCCATCCCTTATTCGGCTGTCGCTGACGTCGATAGATCTTCTGCCATGGATTTTAGCGAAACGATCGAAGTCAAGGTTGTTGACAAGGGTGATCAAATGGCGATTGATTCGTATTTCTTCGCGTATTTTCGCGACTTGCCCCTCGCTCTCGAGCAAATTCGCGATGCAGTACGTATGAACCGAGGGATATCTAGCGACACTCTCATACCGACAGTTTTGGACACAACCGTCTCACGACCTTCAGCCTCAACTAGCACCCCCCGTACCCAGAGCTTACCCGCACCGGAGTCAACGCCCAAATCATCTTCTGGTTTCCGGCTGCCGTCGCTTCTCCGTCCGTTACAGGAGGGATTACCACTTAGCCGTCCTGGTGTGACTGCCGAGCGTTCTGACAGTGAAGAGTTTACGCACATCGCCAAGAGAACAACGGGGTCATTCATGCCTATAACCACATCACCGATATCCTCAATGTACTCGGCGACAGAGCGTTCCCGCAGTCCCGAAGGCGGTGCTCCAAGTTCAGAAGAGGTAGCTGACGAATCTCTGTCTGGATCTCACCACACATATCCTCCATCACCATCACCTTCCCCATCACTCTCTGAACTTACTGTATCGCCCAGCAGAGATAGTTCGATCAGCTCGTGGGGCGTTGGAGTTCCTTCGTGGCTCAGAATGCCATCTATGCCATCGCGTAGGACACTAACCAGTGCCTTTGGTGCTTACAAGACAAGCCCGGAACAGACCATTTCATCAACCGAAGGCAGCGCTGAAGGGGTGTCCGAAGTGCTATCTTCCAACGCAGGCTCAGGAAGTCGGATGTCTTCTGGCTCTGGGCCTGTTGACTTTGGCTACTTCAGCATCCTTGAAACTCCAGAGACAACGCTTGATGTGGAGACAGTAGAGCAATTCCGTGTCTCGTTTGCCTTCGATGAGAAGGAGAGTCTTCTAGGAGGTAAGCGTGCTGTGTGTCTCACCCGGACTGTGTTCATATAGGACATTTTAGTCTTCCCTGGGTACATCTTCCGCTTGCTCCCTGTCTACGGTCGGCTGTATATATCTACACACTACTTCTGCTTCAAGTCTAGTGGTCCTTTGGCGACGCGAACTCGAGTGAGTCTATTTGCGTTGGCTATATATGTGAATCAGTGATCTTATTTTCGTTCAGATGGTTTTACCCATTGGGGACGTGTTGTCAACCGAAAAGACAAAGGCGTTTAGATTTGGACACCATGGTTTGGTTCTCATTGTTAGGGGACATGAAGAACTGTTCTTTGAATTTGCCGATCATGAACGCCGAGATGCATTCATCAATCTTCTTGAACGCCAGATAGAAGATGTGCATCGTCGTTCACAAGCTGGAGATCCTTGCCGGCGCGACACCCTTACTGTTGAAGAGTCAGGACCACGAAGTTCGTTTGACAATGATAACATGGCGTCGAGCGCGCTTCCTGCAGTAATGTTCAATTCTACGTCATCTACATTCTTGACTTTCAAGCCTAAAGAATCCCTCCACTTCACTTTCTTGACAATTGGCTCTCGTGGGGATGTCCAGCCGTATATTTCCTTAGCCAAAGGACTTATCAAGGACGGGCATCGTGCGCGCATTGCTACGCATGGAGAGTTCAAAGAGTGGATCGAATCGGTGCGTCTGGCCTATATACACATTTTATTTACATTTATCTCATCGCAAACAGCACGGCATTGAGTTTGGTTTTGTTGGAGGTGATCCAGCAGAGCTAATGCGCATATGTGTGGAGAATGGCACCTTTACAGTCTCCTTCCTCAAGGAGGGCGTGATGAAGGTCTGTCTAGGTTTTTTTAAAATTGAAAGCGCCTTGATCTCAGACTGTGCCGATAGTTCCGCGGGTGGATAGATGACCTACTCAAGACGTCATGGACAGCCTGTCAAAACACCGATGTTTTAGTGGAGAGTCCGAGCGCCATGGCTGGCTATCACATTGCGGAAGCTCTCAAGATTCCATATTTCAGAGCTTTCACTATGACGTGGTCGCGAACCAGGTAATGCACAGTATCTCGCGGGCACAGGGTTTGTGGCCGTATAAGTTGCTAATGACCTTACAGGGCCTATCCACATGCTTTTGCGGTTCCAGATCATAAGGTAAGTGACGCATCTGGCTTTCGGAATCGCACTCATAGTCTATCAGATGGGCGGCAACTATAATTACATGGTATGCGCCAGTTCTGCAAAAAATACAACATTCTGGGTGCTCATGCACATATTGATTAGTCTTATGTTCTGTTTGACCAAGTCTTCTGGCGCGGAACTGCCGGTCAGATCAATCGATGGAGACGCAATACATTGAATCTTCCTGGCACTAGTTTGGATAAAATGGAACCTCATAAAATACCTTTCCTATATAATTTTAGCCCCGTGATCGTACCTCGGCCATTGGACTGGCCTGAATGGATTCATGTAACTGGTAGGCCCGCCGCGGTTGTGCCGCTGTACCCATGCTTACGAGATGCACAACAGGCTATTGGTTCTTGGATGATGCCAATGTCAGCTCTCATAAATGGACGCCCCCAGCCGATCTCCTTGATTTCCTTGAGACTGCACGCAAAGCGAAGAAGAAGGTCGTATACATCGGTTTCGGTAGCATTGTCGTCTCCGACCCCAAGGCGATGACTCGTTGCGTCATCGAAGCTATTGTCCGCAGCGGCGTCTACGCCATCCTCTCAAAGGGATGGTCGGATCGGCTTGTCAAGAACGTAGCTGATGCACCTGAGCCCGAGGAACCACTACCAAAGCAGATATACTCCGTGTCATCGATTCCTCATGATTGGTTGTTTCAGCGAGTTGATGCTGCATGTCATCATGGTGGTGCTGGGACTACCGGCGCTAGCTTGCGAGGTATTTCGGCCGTTTCTATGTTGTGCATAGGTATCTGATAGTGAATATAGCCGGTATCCCGACCATCATCAGACCATTTTTTGGAGATCAATTTTTCTGGGCGGATCGTGTGGAAGCGATGGGGATTGGTAGCGCTGTTCGAAAGTTGACAGTGGAGAGTCTTACACAGGCACTCATCACTGCTACCACGGATCAGAGGCAAATTCAACGTGCGAAGGCAGTGGGAGAGCAGATTCGTAATGTGAGTTCTCTGCTGACTACTTCGATCTAATGGCTCATGCCTTCTTCAGGAGGACGGCGCAGCCACGGCAATTGAAGCCATCTACCGCGACCTCGAATACGCTCGATCATTAGTGAAACGTGGTCCCGCCGTCGACACCGAAGATGAGGATGTCGATGCCGAACGCGCGACGATCCGCGATTATCCATCTTCCCCAGAACGCTCTGGAACGCGATCTGCTAGCAGTTCCGTCAGCTCTGCGCGTGTGAGCGATTGGAGCGTCATCTCCGAGTAGGAATGGCGAAGCATATTATCTCAACCATATCTGAATGTTCTTTCGGCCAAGGAGATCTGCTTTCACGCTTGTCTTGATCTTATGTATACTAATGCAATCCCTAACCCCATCTCAGCCTATATAATTTAACGACTAACTTCCTGGATTAGCACAATGTGTTGTCTGTAGCATAGACCCGGTAATACATACAGCGTAACCTCCATTCCTTTACTTGGTGTTCTCCTGCTCGTAGTGCCGCTCAAACACGCGCTTGCTGAACTGGCCGAACGTTTCTCCAACTGCGATGCGCTGATCGGTGTTAGGTTGCATGAAAAGCGCGAATGTTTCGCGGGAGACATCCGCCATACCCGCGCCCACACCGACGCGCACACAGTGCGGTGTTGCGCGGAGGCTGCCAGAGGTCGCTAGCTCAAGTGCTTCGCCGGTCTGGAAGGCCAGGCAGTCGGGCGGAATCGCGACCTTGGTGAGTGCGCCGCCGCGGGTGCGGATATACAGCCCAGAGGTGGGTGAAGGTGACTGGACCCCTTCAGGCTCGCCATGCGCGCCGGGGCGGAGGAACATGGCCTAGGCGATTATGTCGTCAAATGAGTAAACAGGCCTGTCATGAAGAAGAGTCGCACCGAACAGAGTCCAGTGAGCAAGGAGTGATCGAGGTGAAAACCACACCAGCTGTCGATGGGTTCGTCCTCAGCGGGGATGATGCTCTCGGTAGATGGCGGGAAGTAGTGTAAGAGACGCGCTTTGGTCGTCTGTGACGATTTAATGAGGTCTGCCAGCGAGACAGACGTGTCGACGAGATGCGAAGACGCTGCCAGGTAGAGACGACGTGATAAATGAGTGTAATGATGTCGGGATGCTGGTTCGTACGTACCGAAGGGTTGGCAGGCAGTTGCAAGCTCGCAGCCAATGCCGAAGATAAGTCTATTGTGATTATGTTTCAGTTTTGTTGGAATGATATACGTCAAGTAAGCTATGTGCACCTTCCGAGGTCCTTGAAAGCCTCTTCAAATCCTTCAATGCCTTTTGTGTTATTGCTGGGCCCTGACATATTCTGTGAGGAGGACGAAGACAATGAATAGGGATATACGCACAGATATTTGATCCATAATATTCGGGGTAAGAATCTCGTTGTGTAGCAGAGACGCTAGGAGTATCTATGATAGGGTTGGCGTAATAAGAACCTTTGAGAGTATCTTTTTGCAAGGGCTTTAGCATGTTCTGATTTAGGTCGCGTAAGTTGCACTTACCTGGCCTCCCGTTCATAACTTCTTTGCCATGAGACCATCCGAAACTAAGTGGGTTTCATTGGTCGCGACACATAAGGGGGTTTCACTGTGTTGTGACATACCTATATTTGCTATTGGGATCTGCATAGCGTTCCCTGGTTTCGCTATCAAGATTGGCGAACTGGTACGCGAGCTTGAGGAGCCTCTCCCTCGCAGAGGCAAAATTACTCGGCAAATCGCGTACTACGATGATCCCGAGAGAATCAGGATGAGAACCAAATGCCTTGTCTATTCCCAGATGGATTCAATTGAGGAAGACAGTAATCAAAAGATCAATATGGAAGGAGTACAAACCGATTGCTGGGGTAAGAGCGTACGGAAACTTTACCAGGGTTGGATACGAGATGGACACGGCGCCCTCAGTGGTGAGCGTGATAGGTTCGACGTGCTGCGCGACGGTGGCGAGGCTGCGTGCGCTGCGCGAGGCCATCCTGAGAGCAGTGGCGGCCAT